CGCTATGTAACTTTATTCTTAAATCGCCCGAATTAACATCTGTAAACGGCCAATGTCACAACCTTAAATCGGCCGAATTAAAAGCCTTAAGTCGGCCGAATTAACAGACTTAAATTGGCCGAATTAACAACTTTAAATCGGCCGAATTAAGAGCCTTAAATCGGCCGAATTGACAACCTTAAATCGGCCAAATTAACAGTCTTAAATCGGCCGAATTAAAGTTTTTGATTCGGCCGATTTAAGGTTTTTAATTCAGCCGATTTAAAGATGTTAATTCGGCCGATTTAGGTTTTTAACTCGGCCAATTTAAGGTTGTTACCTCGGCCGATTTAAGGTTGTTAATTCGGCCCATTTAAGGCTGTTAATTCGGCCGATTTACGGAAGCAACTTGAACAGTAAATATCTAAGCGTAACTCTTGTGTCAGTTGTGTTAGAATATCCTGATTCTTTTACTTTACTGTCTTCAATAAGCTTACTCGTAAAGTACGATTTGATATTGCGGTACGAAGCCCTAGTAAACGCTCTTAGGGCGTCTAGTTTTAACATTGGTCATTTAGCGAAACATTTGTTTGCGTGATCTTGTCAGAGTGGTTGCACTGAAAATACATAGTCGTTTTTTTGGGAATTATTTGCTAGAATACGTCATTTCCTCACTTTTTTCATATTTGTCACTAAAATTGTCACAAAGCGAGCGAGCCGACAGCCGTTATAGAAATTAAATATTCTATTTTTCTCTAAACAGTTTTTTTTATTGCATATTTACATTCATGATATCATAACATATTCTAGCTAACCATTTTCAAAAGGACGAAGAGGAACGATAACAAATCAAGAAACAAAAAGAGATCGCGAAAAGGAAAAATTATCAATTGGTTATAAAATTGTTTAAATCCCTTATTGTGCATGATATAAATAAATTTTTCAGTCGTACGTATTTAAACTCGTAATCAGTCTAAGTTTTCTTTCCATCAATAGTTGCATGGGAACCTTTACTTCAAGGTAAACATGTACTAGGGTTGCGGGTGGTAATTATAAATGGGGGGAGGTCAAGATCACGTTTCACGGGAAATAAATCGGTCCAGTTGCTTGCTTAAACATTTTATAGTCTTTATCATCCGTCCGCTTCTTGTTCTGCGCGCAGCAAAACGAAAACCGAGTTTCTTGTTTTGCGCATGACCAAGAGTCGGTACTGCTTTCCTCCACCACTACATCGTCCTATTCGCTGTCGCAGGAGTCTTCATTATATTCAGAAAGCTGATCACCTCCAGAATTCCTCGATGAAATCGCACCTTCTCTCCTTTATCTGTTGAAAAGTCATTTTAGTGTTCCTTTTCCAGTATAAACTCCAGCCGTTCTCTCTGGTAGAGAGCAGTCTGAGAGTGATACATGTTGAGAATGATACACATTGAGAGTCATATGAAAATGTGTGTCTGCTACAGGTTCAATTTCGGACAAATCAATCTCATTTTCAAATGATATATTTCGCGCAAGGACTTGTTTTAAAACAAAGGCAAAAGGGAATTCAGAAATAGTCCCACATGTATTTTATTATCAAGCGTAGCTTCAACCTACGATGTTTTGATGATTTGTAGTAGATAGGGGTGCTGGAATCTATCTGATCAGAAGCCAATCACTAGGAGTCCCCATATTCCTGTCACGGGGTTTTCACAGACTGATCTATTTTTAGTTTGAAGTTACCGCGAATTCAGATCCCCACCGGAGCCTCAGTGACCAATCACAAGCACGGACTTCAATTTTAACTGATGTCATCATCTCACCGGAAGATTACAAAGACAAACAGCCATTTTTCCTTACTGATGCGCGCTCATGTAGACCGGAACTGACATATTTGCGCGGGAAAAGAAGCCTAACAATAGATCGGTCTGTAAAAATGCCGTGACATTGCCATGGCTTAGTATGGGAGTTGCACGCTCCTAGTGATGGGCTCCTGAACTGATATAATTTTATTATCTAGTAGCAGTTTCGATTATGTATTCAGCATCAATTTTCCCTTTGGCAAGTATACATTATCGCCGGATTACAAAATTGAAATTTAGAATATTCTCTTGCGACAAATTAAACCCTAGCTAGTTCTAACCGGCCTAATATTTGAAGAGACATCTTCTGTTTCATGATACATTTAAATAAATTTAAAGGAAACCCCAAAATTACACTTCTGTAGTTCTGTTTTGTGTGTGTGTGTGTGTGTGTGTGTGTGTGTGTGTGTGTGTGTGCGTGTGTGAGTCTGTGTGTAAGAGATTGAGTGAGTTAGTTAAAGTGTAAACTGAAGTAATATAAGAAGTGATCGTGATGTGAGCAATCCATTCTGAAAGTAATGTAAGTAATTATCTGTTTTGCAAGTAAAAATTTAAACTGAAAAAGAACAATACGCTATAAATAAATAAGCACATCTGCATGTTAAGCTGAGTTGCCCTCGACGCATTTTCAAGAAGGGTATTTATCAAACGAAAAGTCCTTAAAAAAAGGATAGCTTTTCATCATCTCCGTGACTCGCTTTATTTGCTCGTCACTCCACACTACTTTGTCCCTCGTGACTGAAGGCCTTCCGTACATGATTTTACTACATTTTTCATAGTAATCCTCAGAACACGTGACACCCAAATGGTCACACAATCTTTGTAGCGTTTCTCGGGGTCTTAGCACTGTTTCGTGTGCCGGGATATCGAGAACCGCATCTCCATACCGTTCCCTGACGCGTTGATTTGCAGCAGCTAAGTCAAAATATTGTGTAATGCTCCTTTCCAGGGCACTATTGGCTTCTGCCTGTCAGAGATAAAACGGGGAACCAATACATGCTTTATACTTTTAAAATGGTTGATTTAATAGTCATTTACGCCTCTCGCTCACTTACTCAAACTCATAAAACTCATTGCCAAGGCCGAACTCTGTTTGCTGAAAACAACCTATAAAAATGAAATCAAGATTTTGTCGTAGTTTATTTGCTAACAACGCAACTAAATTACAGCAAAGTTCAGGGTAAACCGGCCGTGTGAACCCGTTGATACCACCCACGAACTAACTGCCTTGGGAAGGAATAAGGTGAGAAAAACATTTTCGCACTTAAGCTGAAGAAAAAGAGGCCTGAACCCAACCCTACACTGATTTAAAGGAGCTCAGCCATGGCATTTCGAGTTACTTTTGCCATATACAAAATTAACTTTAATTTGAAAGGAACCTGAAAATAGTAGTTTACCAAGATAGAAAAACACCAAATAGATACTAATAAACCATAGAGGAGCAAGGATGGTTAAGGAAGGAGAAGATTAACATGGATTGCATACATCGAACTTGGAAAATTTAGGTTAAACTTAGTAAGATGCACAAACCATGACGTAACACCTTTAAATACTCATAACTAAGAGTCCCGTATGTAACCTGTTCTCCCCGGTAGGCAAATCCACGATATCATGCCATTGTCTTATACCCATGGAAAGTTCAAGAAGGAATTAGAGACCCCATTAAATTTCCTCAACAGAATATTCCAGCTTAACGTGAAAGAGAAAAATATGTTAAGGAGGAAGCAATAAAAAAAGCAAAATCGCACCCGTTATTTGATCGTCACGCAACGCTTCTCAAAGATGTGTTACGTGACAGAAAGCGCTGTGTGATGGATGACCAATTGAAGACGAAAGGAAATTATGGCAATTCCTGGATGCTAAACGAATGGTAGGTTTTGTACCATGTGAAAGTTTCTTTATCAACATTGATCAATCACAGCACACCTGTTACTTAGCTAATAAAGATAATTTATAAAACGCTGAGCTTTATTAGTAATATTAATTAATAATAGTTATAAGGAAAGAAAAAAAAGAAAACAACTCACTTTAAATCCTTCTTCTCTCGCGGCGTTGCGTTTATTTGCCTTACGTAGCGTCATAGTGGAAATGTTGTCAAAGGGGTTTCTCACGACGTGTATGAATTTCGTTGGTACCTGAACAAGTTGACGGATTGCTTCTAGTTTACTCATATTGTTGGGATCGATTAGTGTCTTCGATGTTTTGCCTCCTTTTTTGTCTCCGATTACCTTGAGAGAACAACAGTCGTTAAAAGATAATCAACCAGAGACAGTGGAATGTGCGTTGTGACACAAAAGAAGAGAGATCAAGATCTAAGAGAACACAATCCCCGTACGGGCCTTTTCGAATGACAATTTTTTCAATCTAATTTTAGCGCGTGGGTTATTTTAGGAAAGACACGTGAATGTTCAAGTTAAACGACGTAATAAAATTTGAGGTTTGGTTTTGTTAATTAAATAAGTAAAAAATGTGCCCGGTTATTCGTAAGAAAAGGGGAGGAAACATTCTAACTGACCGGCGTTTTGAAAGAGGTTTCCAAAGATATATTAATTCGTTTTGTACTTTTCGAGAAACGACTTTTGAGGGTGTGCAATTTTTTTCGGCAGCCATGGCGCCCTAGGTGAATCAGTCACGCTGAGAAATGGCTTATAGTCGAAATAAACTTGGGATAAGCACATAGAAGGTAATTTTTCTGCCTAGCGCTTTGAAAATGCTTTCCAAAAGACCTCTCTCTATCTTAAAAGCAAACTGATTCGTTTGTCTCTTAACCCGTTCCATTTTCAACTTCAGATTTAGATGGACGCGACGCGATGACCTTGATGACAGCGCGATCATGGCACCTAGCGTAAAAATAACTTCCACAGCATGACACAAAGCTTAAAATAGATTGAAAAAGCTTATCATAGGGCACGGGGATGTATTCTCTTAGATTATAGACTCTTGGGGCGCTACATTTCGATTGGGCTTAGGGCTGTCCACAAGATGCATGCCGGAACTTTGTGGAAACGTTTTCACAAATCTTACAGTTAGGCACGAGGAATCAGAAAGTTCTACAGTTCATTGAAAATAGTAATAGCGGCAGCACACGTTCGCCTATTGTAGAGACAATTATTATTTATTAACTCCGGTTGCAATAAATCTACACAAAAATGCTTTGATATCTAACTTTTGAAGGCCAGTTATCATAAATGTGAATTACCTAAAATGACAGAACTCCATTAAAAAAAGTCATCACACTGTTTAGATTTTTGCAGCAGCTTTTACGCAATGTCTTGAGAAATTTTAAGCAACTAGTGGACAGCTCTAACTTTGAAAAAAAAAAAGAAAAGACATTTCAAAATAGCTCCAGTTTTGGAATCAGTACATGTATAAAGAATGCACCTTATTCCAAAATGGCCGCCATTTTAGTATTCTTTTGTTTACTTGAAAATGAACCCTTGTTGCCTCGTTTAAGGGAAAATATTCTTTTGAATTTCGAGTTTAAGAGCGAGGTAAAAGGGGCTAATTTGCAAGTAAACAAAAGAATACTTAAATGGCGGCCATTTTGGAATAATGTGTATAGCATTGTAAAATTCCGCTTATGTGGTCCCCCTCCTAGATGTCCTCCTACACCAAAAATAGGCTGGTAATAATTCTTCCCCTTCACCCATTTATACACCTGGGTGGAGAGAGACACTGTGAGCTCGAGAGTAAAGTGTCTTGCCCAAGAACACAACACAATGTCCCTGGCCAGGGCTCGAGCCCGGACCGCTTGATCTGGAGACGAGCCCACTAATCACGAGGTCACTGCTCCTCCCACTGTGGGCTATACCGGCCCTACTTATCTTTCATTGCCTTTTCTTGTTCAGGTAGAAAACGTTATTCATTAAATTATTAAGTTACCTTGATTCTATTTTGATAACCTCCTTGCCATAAGCCAGGTACGTGGTATGTATAAGCTTTTGGACCCTTTTTAGTATAATTGGCGCTAGCACGTATTCCAAATTTAGCTTGTTGCGTAGAAAGCTTGTGAAGGGCAGAAAATAAAGCATATCTCTGCAAATTGTTCGGTTTAAGTTCTGGTGACAGGTATCTTCCCAGTTTTGACATCAAACCGTATTCGTGTGGAATGATAATTTCTGGATGTGCATCCAATATGGCGCCCACTAAGCTGTGACTACTTCGTTGATAACCAATGAACATTACAAATGTCTCCACTCCATCGTACAATTTGAAAAGATTCTCTGTAGAAGAGAGGGAAGTAGTTTCCTCTGAAAGAAACAGAAGCAATGTGTGTGAATATATATTGTTGGTGACTTTCATCTCACAAACGCCGGTGATTGTGATTGTCATTCGGTGTGATCGTGAAATGCATAGGAACTAAACATCCAATGTTTCCTGCCGTATAGTAGAAGTTGTTCGTTGATGATTCCCCAGAATTGAAATAGGATGTGGCTCGTAAAGGAAGGCACGGTTCCTTAATTTCATTTCTAAAGCTCGTCACGATTTCAGTCCTGGTACTAAATACAAGATCTACTTCGCCAAGAACTCCCGACTTTATTCTCAGATTTTTAATTATATTACATCTTAATGCTTTTGTTTTTGTTTTATCTTTTTGTTTGTGACAATACCTGGGAAATAGCGATACTTACAATACTGTAATGATCTAATTGTATTAGACCACTATGGTGGCCTAGGACTGCCATAACAAAAAACCCATTGTCTTAACAAGTTTCTTGTAAATTTATGTTTTATTTGCTTTTTCGGTTTATTTTTTGTTTCTTTTAATGTCATTTTATTTTTATTTTTATCACAAAAATATTTTAATTTAAAATCAAAAGTAAATAATCAAGAAATTGATTTAAATCAAAAGAAAATATCTCAAGAAACAAAATAAAAACAAAATGATTCTGAAAATGAAAGTAATTTCAAACGAAACCAAACTTTGCGGCGAAATCAATTTGTGTCTTTCAAAGATTTCGACGAACTCTCCAATGATAACATTGAAAACGCGTGTTTTTTTTTTCTTTTTTCTTTTTTTGCTATGGCAACGATAGGCCATGGGCAATTTTGCTTTTAGTTTAGTTTACAATAACTTTTTTTTTTCAAATTATTTTTTTAATTAGTTTTTAAATTTATTTCGCCGCAAAGTCTGGTTTCGTTTGAAATTACTTTTATTTTCAAAATCATTTTGTTTTTATTTTGTTTCTTGAGATATTTTCTTTTGATTTAAATCAATTTCTTGATTTATTTACTTTTGATTTTAAATTAAAACATTTTTGTGATAAAAATAAAAATAAAATGACATTAAAAGAAACAAAAAATAAACCGAAAAAGCAAATAAAACATAAATTTATAAGAAACTTGTAAGACAATGGGTTTTTTGTTATGGTAGTCCTAGGCCACCATAAAGACCACCGTTTGAGTAAAATAAATTTATAGGTTTCATTAGGCTACTCGAAGTTTATTACTGCATGAGAATATCCGGGACACATGATCCGATTATAAGAATGAAAAACAGGGTTTCAAGCTAGCTAGAATGCCCAACTTTTCCTTAAGCTTTTCAATGATCTGTATCTTCATTTGTTTGCATGTATGTCGAAATGGTCACAATTCGGAAGTTCTGTCATCTATGGAATAGCTTTAGAAATTCAGTAAGCGCGCCAGGGTACGGTTTCAACAGTGCTTTAAGACAATCCCAAACCATTAAATATGAGAATAAATGTGAATTAAATTTACCATTTCGTTTGGAGAGGATGGCCGGCTGCTTTAAAGGTGTATTCTTGAAAATTGAGCTCAGATCGGAATTCTCGACTTGAAGAAAGTAAAAAGCCACGAACAAGCTTGCAAAGAGTCCAGCGAGCAGCAGAGGAAAGCATGTTGAACTTCGTCTTAGAAGCATCTCACTGGTCGTGAATCATTAACCTGAAAAATAATCATGTTGTGTTGGCTGTTTTACATCAGGGTTCTTATTAGCTAACCATTGTGTGTGGCCATTCAAATGAGAGTCATTAAGCTGTTCTTTGATGGCTCTGCTACTCAGGCCTTTTTAAACTATTTACCATGATGCATGAGGTGGCTGTGACCTTTTGAATTTGTGCATGTGATCTTGTACAAGATTATGACCATTTAATTGGAAGATGACAATTTTGCGCGTCGAAACCTTTCTGTAGCTTTCAAATGATATGTTAGAATAGGATTTGCCAACTCTGACAATGGAAAACATAGATCTAATTTAATTTGTCGCCACAGAGAAACACGAAAGCCATTCTTTAGGCTGTCATATGAATGACTACCCACGTGCACGACACCAGCAAAGGTTTTGCTGACACAAACATGACCATGGAAACCAGCGCCGTAGCCAGAAATAAATTATTTGAAATTATAAATTATGACTGAGGCAATCTCCATGAAAAAATGTATGACTGAGGCCATGTCCATGGTTAGCTCTCTTCTTAGGTTTTTACGGTGTTTGTGATGACTATTAACTACAAAACCGAAGAAAAGAATGGCTGAGACAAGCGCCTCTGTTTGCCTGTTACCAACTACGGCTCTGGAAACAATTCCGGCTGCCTTGTCAGTCTTCATCAGTGAAGAGAAAATACGTCCAAACATGTAATACAGAAAAAGAAGAATAATCATCTTTTTATAGATATATTCTTCCCAACGAAAAATGACTCTATTTGATCCAGTACAATGCCTTCCTCTTGGGGATGTTCCTTAAAAGTTTGCTATTAGCGTGACATGAATCAAAATAAATACAAAGCTGTTAAATGTATATTGAAAATGAAAATGTATTATTTAAAGTGCACACGACAAGTATTACATCCATTCTTGTCGGTTTCACCACGGTTATTTGCATATTGCTGGCCGATTTTTGATTTGATGTTCAAAATTAATTATCTTGTAACAGTCATTCCTCATTTCTGGTATAAAAAGCGTGTAAGTTTCGATAATGCTTAACCCATGTTGAACTTTCACCGTTCGGTTTCAACATCCGTCGTGGGATTCAAAGTAAGCGAACACAGGCAAACAGAGAAGACGTTTACTCACTGTTTAATTAAATGATAAATTACAGGGCGCAGGAAAGGTCTTATTTATTTGTTGATGTTCTATATACAAGGCCATCTGCTGTAGCCACTTTGACTTAATGAGTGATTCACGTAGACTAACATTATACCGGAATCATCGGTCAGTCATACTTAAACTTCAACACCGCTGTGACTACTCTTAACCAAACAGACAACTAAACAAATTCTGTACAAATTCTGTTTTCATGCTGAAAACCTTACTTGTTCTCAATAGATTTCCCTCAAATCATCGATCTGAACAAGCTATACTCTACGGAAACAATGAGTTTGTGATTTTGATTGTTTCAACATTGCTCATTTTGAAGACAATTATTATGACTGAAGTGGTCAACAGTAAATTTGAATTCTTTTGGAAGAAATTATTTGCTAGAGTACATTTTCTCACCTTTTCGTTATTTGCCAGTAGTGTGAACTGTAACGTAGCGGGCGAGCGGACAGCAGTACAAAAGAAAATTATGATATATTCCATATTTCTATAAACATTTATTAAATATACTACTTGAGATATAACGCGCGTGCTAATTGGTCAATTGGTGTGTTTAGATGAATTAAAGTTATGCAAACTCTCCACTGCGTCTCGAGTTTGCATAACTCTATCGAATTCACCGCCCCTTGTGTTTAGATGCATGAGATTAATATGTGAATACGGAAAAATTGCCCTATTGCTTAATTATTACACATACCCTTCTATCTCATGAAATATGCCAGCTAATTATTTTTAAACGGACGAGAAGAAAATAACGAAACAGAAAATCATAAAATTGGACATAAAATTTTCTAAAATACTTTCTGTAGGTGATGTAAATTTTGGTCGTGCGTTTTTAAATTCGCAATAATGTTTAAGTTTTCTTTCCTTGAAAAGTTTGCATGGAAACCTTTCCTTCGTGGCAATTATGCACCGAGTAATATGACTTACTGTCATTGTCATTGAAGTTCGTGTGTGAATATTTAGTATATGGCAATGGCTTCGAAATAAAGGAGATAGAAATTAACTGAAGAAAAGTTATATTTTCATTGTGTTTGAAACATATATATCAAGAGAAAATGTATATACAGTCGAGCCTCCGTTGTGACCACCTCTCCTCGGAAACCAGTTTTCCATAATACCAAAAATTTCCAAGTCAAATCACTATATTTGGAACCTCTTGTAAGCGACCACCTTTCGTAAGCGACAGCGACCACTTTTGGTGCTAAAAGTTTGAAATTTTCATTTGTTTTTAATCTCCCGAAAGCGACCACTGAAAGATAGTAGAGCGGAAATTGGAGCAAGACAACGCCTTAGGTTTAAAATAAAGGGGCGGTCAAATTTAAAGAAAGCTGTCCAATCCTTATTTTAAACTGAATTAAATTTCATGTTCAGTTCCCCCTAACGTTTAGGCAACATTAAAAATTCAATTTACAACTGTGCATGGGCAGTTAGTCTGTTCAGTCCCCATATGGTAATTAAGGAGGCTAAAGTTTGACCCAATATGGCCTAAGCTCTCGTAAGCGACCACCTCCCGTAATTGCTTACAGGAGAGGGGGTTCGATTGTACATGTCTTCACATTGTGTTTGACACTTTTCTCCTGTAATAGCGCGCGAAAATTCACACGTAAATGTTCTCTCTTGGTTCGAATTGCATGATGGTTCCGAATCCACCTCTATGAGGAGTGGACATGGCGGCCATCTTCTTAATGAAACAACAACAGGTCCATATTATCCATTGGGTAAGATACTGGAAACAATTTAAGAATTTTCCTGATCAGTTATTGACCTAAGTTCATCAGTAGGCCGTAATATTAAAATGAAATATACCGCCTGCAGCGAGAGGCTGTTGTTTCACCGGTGGAATGCAACATCACTTTAGGTTATTCCTCAGAATTACATTGCGCATCCCTGCTGCGCACGTTTTTCACGTCATTTGCGCGCGCTCGCGAACGCATGCATACACATCATATGCAAAAAGGTGGCTTTTTCTAAACGGCTTGGTTTGCGAGAGGCAAATCATTGCTCTTTTCTCCAAAACGAGTACCGGTACCTAACGATTTTTTTAACTCAGTTTGAATGCAGCGATCACTTTCTTTCTATACAGTGAATATAGAACAATTTCTATTGCAGAGTAAAAAAATTATCACTGAAAATGAGAGCATAGCCAGTACTCGTAAAAGATAACATGCGGTCTCAAGAACACTGCACGCTTGGAATATATTGAACCCCTGTCGACTAAATAGGGCTGCCTTTATCATGAAATTAAAACGTACATCAAATTGCTCATTAACATTGAAGCAATACAACCATTGTTGAATTTCCCGCTAAACTTTCTCCCTATTTGTCTGCCCTCACAAGACGTTAAGTGAATGATTCAAATATAAGCGTCTACGAAGGTAGATAGTTTTAGGAATTATGGGGTTTATCGAAGGTCTTCCTGCTCCTAAACGAATACCGCGACCCCGCCCTTTTTTGTTTGGAAATTTATGTTCTCTTGAAATAAGCAGCCAACCGGTAAAGTTTGAAAAAAAATCTGTTGTGAGTTCTATTTCGACAGGAGCAGGAGCCATAATCGGGGACGGAGACCGTAAGCGCGCGCCATTTGTAGTATTAGGGTTGTCCCCATGANGGCACTCAGTAGAGCTATAATATCAGAAAAAAATGTTTATAAAATACACTTGCCAATAGACGCTTAGAAATAGTTTTAACTCACCATAAAAGTGACCGCCGGCGTGACCGTCGCCCTGTCAATGACCTTCAGCGCATAGTACCGTGTGTTACCGCCTTGTTTATCAGTGTATTGAATACATTTCTTTCCTCTGGTATCCTCAATCGTAAATTCTTTGAAATACAAAGTACACTATTAGGGAACACTTCTGAAAACAATTTCAGTTAAAATTATAACTAAACAAGACTCAATAGTATGAAATCAAAAAAAGGCAGCTCAGCTGCATGAGAAAGCAACAATCTCCGTACGTAAATTTTGGACCTTAAGCAATAACACGACACACTGGGGGCGGGGGGGAGGTGATGTAGTTTTGACTGAGACTTACTAGTTGTTAAGCTCTTTGTAGATGTACCATCGCATTTTGCCTGGGTTCTACCTCCATCAAAGTGAATCTGTAAAAGATTACCGGCTTGACAGTCGTCTACTTTTCTTAAAAATGACTGAAGGCTGATGGCTGTTGCAGTTCTCCGTCTGTTTGGCCTGGCTTCCACAGGGACCAGTAAGCACATAACTGCAGCCTACATGCGGATGAGGAAGTGATATCTTCAATTTTAACCTGGTCATTGACTATTAATAAGTCGTGACACCGTGTTGTCGTTAAAATTTCAGAAGAATTAAAAATCTTTGATGTCACGTCTCCATGATATTTTTTCTAAAACAACGTAACATGCCCTAATGGATAATAAACAGGACTTTTAGCAAAAAAGAAAGAAACTTAACGAGGGTGAAATACAAAAGATTAGACATTTTAAAGTTAAACTTTTATGAGTTATAAAATCTAAGATTGGAAGAACCTTAGCCATTATTCCTTACTAGAAAAGTATATGTGAAATCCATTTAGCCTGCTCTCTGTCCAATTATTACTTTCAGATGAATAACTATGAAATGTTTCAGAGCTGGGGCTTTCTTTTATATCACGGTTCATTTAATTTTATTTGCACTACATAATTCATAAAAACTGAAAGGAATTTGTTCCATCGAGCCCCTGATTCGAAAAAGCATTACATACTGATATCAAGTATTTTTGTACGAGAGGAACGGCACAGTGAGTGGGGGCTTTTTAAGAAAAGAAAAAAACGTAGCTAAAAAGTAAAGCAATATGGCACTTCAGTTGTCAGAAACCCCTCCCCCCTCCCACATACCCCTTGTTGTAAATTTTTAAACCCTCTTTCTGACTCAGTTAAGATATAAACCATTGTGACATAACCACTGCTCACTGATCTTTTGGTCTCTTAGTCAAAGAAATTGAACTTAACTAGCCCTGATACTGATAAATCAGTTATTAGTGGAACAATTAGATCAGCACGAATCAAGTGGAACAAATGCTATCAAATACTGACCTGAACGTGAAGGTGACGACTCCCGTCTAGACATGCGGAAGATTTTAGGCGTGGAAATTATGCGGAAAATTACTTAGTCTTAATTGAAAGTTTACTACTAAATACTTGCTTTGTGAACAGTGCCATGTAAGCGTGGGTGAATGTCACTGCAAAGTGTGTCTGTTGCGTTGTCTGTAACAGTTAAAAATATCTTTTTCTACCTCCGAAATATAACAACTCATTTAAACGGTATTTCAATAGGAGCAGGTGAACATCCAGTAACTTGCAGTTGGCTCGGCCACGATCGACTAAAAGCAAGACTCTGAACTGGTCTCGTAGTTTGAAAATTTAAGTTTAAGTTACAATGGAAGTTCTAAGAACAAACAAACTTCCGCTGAAGTAGATCGTATTAAGAAGCAATATAGGATTATTTTCCAATTAGCTAAACACCCAACAATTATCCGGGGAGGAACTTTCGGAGGGTATATCCCACCCTTTAGGGCCAAAATTGAGGTCTAAAGGACCAGAAAAATGTTTAATTCGACTGATTCTCTTTTAGCGTCAGCTCCCGCCATCCGCTTCTACCACGGATGGTTTGATACTGTATCGCTCAAGGAAGTCGGAACATCTGATTTATATTTCCTTGACACTGACTTGTTTACTATTTCATCATTCAGTTTTATTGCGTATTCACCAGATTTGTTAGCAATAACTGGATCTCGACCATCAAAAGGAATTAACCGTTTACACCTTTGATACCAAGGAAACACATCAATTGCGATCAAGAGAATATTTCTTGTTGAGTTTTATTGATTAAGATTGAAGTATTCAATTAAAAGAATAATAACTTAAGTCGCTGTGAGTCTACATCATTTTAACACACGTGTGTAAACCCTCAGTTATTTTTTATACTACTATCATTTGTTTGCCAAATTAAATGGGGACGTTTGGCGGGAACCATGAGTAATTGTCCGTATAAATGGAGAGACTTTAGGACCCTTTAGGTTACATCGACGGCATAAGACGATACGCAGAGAATTGTATGCCAGCACTAAGTTTTTATTGCATATGTTACTTTATATCTCGGTTCAAGAGGTCATTGGCTCGAATATCGATCATGAAAACATTGACATGTTGTCTTGAAATGTCACCCCAACAGCAATCTACGACTGAAGAACGCTACCGACACCCAATGACTGAGATTCTTAGCACGACAATCACTGAAACTCTTCGAGTCTTCTGGGGCTCCCCGACTGACGTCAGTAGAGGTCTATAGACTCAATGGTGTAGACTACAGCCGCTTCGCTTGCTCAGGCAAATCAAGACGCAAACTACAATCTACTGTGAAATTTACAGACACTATGATACCGACTGACTAGTACAAACTTGTGTCTTTTGATGTACAATAATTACTCACTAGTGTCATGTTCCACTTAAACTTAGCCTGTGTAGCAGGCGTTTCCAAAAGCACGCGCAGAGAACGAAATTGCGAACGAGTGCGAAAAATAAGGACAGGCGCGCTGGTTTGCTCGCTCGCTTGCTCCCGCGTTTGTTCGACGTCTCCGCCTGGACAAGGAGAGGACACGTCTGCTATGCAGACTACTTCAACTGAAATCACAGCGCAACGTACTGTGACTACCATCTGAAGTAGAGCCTACTGTGAAACTACCGTTTCAAAACTATATTATTCCGACAGAAGACATCACGGACTTAGTGACCTTCTTTCAGTATAATGGTAAACTCAGTTTACACGGTACAGCCTTGGGGTCGCCGGTTTCCGTTGATGTTATTGTTGCTGTTGTTGTTGTTGTTATTGTTGTTGCAGGAATTGTGATTACAAAAACATCAGGGAACGCGCTACTCAGTTCCCTTGTTTCACCCGAAGATTATGATAATCATTTCAATAACGTATACGATAATAGGTCTATCTAACTTAAATATCAGCTAACTGTTTATTGTAATAAAGTACTTGGGACAACTTATTTGCCGAAAACAGACGCTTTAATTATTGACCATAAAAACAAGTTGTTGCTGTGAGGCACTTTGAACTGAATTACTTTAGTTTAATTTAACAAAAAGTGCTAAATGGTATTTTTTTTTTTTTTTTTTTTTTTGAGACGTTTCGGGAAAAACCCCTTCACAAATGATCACGCGGCTAATGCCTATAAAAGTCTGATGGAGGTGTTACAATGGTATAAAGCTTACGTACGTATCTTAAAGGACAAGGAGACAAGTGATTTCTTAATGAAGGCCTTATAAAACTTGACGTGCAGGCTGGCATGCAAGAGCCGTTTAGTGCAGATGATAGCTTCATTTGCGACTGATCGGTTTTTTTCCGAAACGTCTAAAAAAACACCATTTAGCACTCCTTGTTACCTTGATTCCACAGTCTATGATTGTGTTTTTATCTTGAACGTGTTTACCTTGAACATTTAAATTCAACATTTATTTCCTGCGCTTTTTAAAAGTATTGAGCATCTATTTAACATTGAAATAGCAACTTTTTGAAAAAAGAATTGTTTCTATTTAAAAAAAATAAGATCTGCTAATACTGTGTTGAAATTGAATACAAAAAAAAAAACATGCAAAAGGTCTCATCGGACAGCGTTACTTCACCCCCTGTAAAGTATGTTGCTTTAGCATGCAAAAGCATTCTTTACAAGAATATAATGCACACTCTCTCCTTTTTACAAGAACTGTTTTATAATTACATTGAGACTGAAATTTGTGAAGTTTTAAGAATATTTTAAGAATAAACGCAAGGGTGAGAGTTTGAAAAGAATATAATTTGCATGTTGAAAATATGTAAATGTAATACAGTTATGTGTTTTATAAAATTCTTCCTTTCTCTAAGAGGCAAAACTACTCAAAAAGCAACAAAAACAGATGCTTATATATAACATTTGTGCGTCACATCAGGCTTTAATGCTTACAGGCAGGCTCCAAAATCACTTAAACACCATCCATGCCAACCACCAAAAAAAATATACATTCGAAAACAGAAATGTCACACGCTGTAATCTAAGAATATTTACAAGAATATTTTCAGCCTAAAGTCGGCAGAAAAATAAGAATATTCAGCCTCGGGGGGCGGAAAAACAATATTCTTATATTATAAAGAGTGTGATGGTTACCATCAACAACAGCATGTGCATGATTGCAAATTTCGTCGGCAAGGCCCCAGCAGACTTTGACGAACACACTGATTTATTGGTCGAAGAAATGTTTTTAAGAAGTACTGAGTCGGTGATCGGGAGCCCTGGTCAGTAGCCATGATCAATTGACTAGGCCAAGGGTATACCCCGAACAGGAATTAAAAAGCACTAACCACTAAGCTTTTTAGAACTTCAGAAATGGCGAATATTCCGGCAATAATCACAACGCATTATGAAGCAATTTTGCACTAACTTTCCCCATGAAGATAGTCAGGGGGAGCGTGTAAATATTCTCAAAACCACACAATTATGGACAAAAGTGGTTGGAACGGCTCGAATACAGTTTTTTACACATAAACTTTATCAATACGTGCATGCATGTGAGCGTTCTGTAAGACCCACCCCTCCCCCACGTTCAACGTTAAACCCTTTTAGTTAAGGACTACTCGTGCAGTATGTTTGAGAGCTCATTATTGCCTGGAATTGAGGGAAATCGAAATACGGCAGATATTTTGGCAAATGTGCCAATAATTTCGGCAAGAATTACATAGATTGTACTTATGTCCTTCATTGCGTGTCACGCATTTAAACGTGGTCACACTCCCTCACGCATATTGATCATACCAAATTATCTACGTGCGTGAATATGATTCGGTAAATTAATTAATGCGAAAATGTGGTCAACGAAGTGTCAAGTTTGCAAGTTCCTATCATAGTTTTGCTCTTAATCATCCGTGAGCAGAAGTTGTTTCTAATCCTATTAATGCCGGGGGGTTACACTGGCGTTAATTAACAGGAACTTGTTATCAGGTAAACTGGGGAAAAGACGATCAGTATGATGTTTCTCAATTTATTTGTTTGCATTTTAGACTCATACATAGTCTGCAAAAGGTTTCAGACTCTACGTCCTGTCGACTCCTCTACCGTTCGCCGGCGATTGATCACTTTATAGCAGAACAGTGGAGCTTTTTAAAACAATTTATCAAGTATCCTTCATTACTTTGAAGAACTATTCTTTCATAAGAGTTTGAATTTGATAGAACTGATACTGAGTACCATTTGAGTTACCCTTGTTTCTTTTCAGGAAAAAGTGGTGTAGTCGCCTGCACACATTTTATTTCTAACTTGATGATGATGTCAAGATGACAGCGAAACGTGCTTTTTTAGCGTTGATGTTCATTGAAAAACTTTGTAAGTTAGTAGGCGGTAATCGGTGTAAATAGTTTTATTTAAATTTATCTTTCATTCTGTGTTGCTTGTATAATAAACTTAAACAGCGGCTGCATTTGGTCGGGGGTTCTTTTCCTAAATTAGAGGTTTGGGGGTTTGCGTGTCCGGCTTTGGTGCACGTAGGATATCGATGCACTGTTTATGTATTTTGCTGTAATCTTATTAGCGTCAATTAAAACATATCTTGGGCCTGGCTGATCCATGGCCACGTGCTCATGCCTGATAACCTTTGTGTACGTTCGGTTGTGTAGTGAAGGCAAAATAGTGTGTTAATATTATTTAACAAATAAAGAAGCCTAAGCCGTGTATTACACCGTGATAAATCACGACGGGTATTTGAGAACACGAGGGAAACGCAGAAAACACTCGCCTGCGGCTCGTGTTTTCTACATTTCTCGAGTGATCATGCATGAAAAAAAAACAGACGAAAATCCACTTAAGGTTACAGTATACCTTTGGGTCGGCAATTTTCTTCAAATTTGGATTTTTGGGTCAAAGTAGTGGTCGAAGAATAATTTCTAATTTCTGAAAAATTTTTTGAAAAAGGCTAAATATTGGCGGAGAAATGGCGTCCTTACGTTTTCACCGGAANGCGCAATTTGTTCTAAAAATAGAAAAATTGTCCCATATCATAGGTGCGCGCGGATCCCAAGACTTACGGTCTCCGTCCCCGATTATGGCTCCTGATTTCGATGGAATTACCTTAATGTTATACCCATGATAAGTAATGGTAATAGGTCTGACTGGAGTCCAACTCGGTCTATGATTTTTAGGGTTAGATAGGAAAATAAATACATAAAGTACCTTTCTACATTGTTTTTATATTTTATTTGTGTTAGTTTAGGAATATATCATGTGTGTTCATGTAGGTGCACATTATAAGCAAGAGTATCGTATCTCTTTTGTTTTAGTGAAGGATTGTTGTCAATGGAGAAACGTAGTTTTATAAATCTTCTGAATAAACAGGTATTTAGATGTTCTCAAAATTTGAATATCAAATACTGTGACTACAGACTCATGGTACATTTGCCCTGCGACAATTTTTGCTGTAGTGGTCGAGTCGATCGTCTCCAAGGTAACATAAAAGTTTACAATTATGGCCTAATAATCGGAGCACGAGCATAAGGTGACGTCATCCTGCTTAGCAACAACGTTGGAGAAAACCGCTGGCTCAGCGACACCTCGAAGAATGGAAAATGTTTCAAACGGTTTCCTTCAACTGATGATCGACAGATGATTTGTGAGTCCCTCATACTGTTCCTTGTCATTGCGTTGAAGTATCTGGCTAGACGCTAGAAACATTTCTAGACGCGCTAAATCTCGAACTAATCTTTTTCACCCTCATTATTCATAAATACTGACTTTTTGACAAGTTTTGGTTTGTCTCGCTTTGTCTGTTCAGCCTCACCCCTTCCCTCACGTACTATGTAGCGTGCACTGACCCTACCCCTGCTCGCTTCAGTACAGAAGGACTTTTTTGTCTGAATCTCGCAACATTGTTGTGAGTTGTTCTTGCAAATCTGCATGGAATCCATGTTCCTTTTCTATCTCAGCATAACCCAACGAAGACAAAACTTGAATGTTCTGAGGTTGTTTTCTCACTATTGGTCGCTTTGGTCTAAACAAAAAATATATATATATCTACTAAACAAGAAAAAAATAATAGTAAAGTAAGATAATATGCAAGTAAAAAATAATTGGAAATTACAGCAACAATAAATGTTTTGGTGACATGAACAATTAATTAAATTTAAATTCAATTAATATTTTAAGAGGAGGCCTCCAATCACTTAGAAGTAGTTTTCTAGAGGATCCTCTAAAAGATAAAAGTCTAAACTACATTAAATGTCTAAAATACAGAATAGCTGTAAAAGCTAAAAACGTAAGACTACAACTAAGGTTTAAAACTGGAACTAAGAAATCTATTCATGTGAGAAAAACGGAAGTACCAACTCTACTTTTAAACATGGCTAATACTGTGCTTTGATTGGCCAACTCATGATAGTATAAAAATATTGCATAACAATATATAATTTTAACCTCATTACATGGAATACTTTCGATAGATAGGCTATTTATTCCCAGCATTCCCGCGTGCCTGCTGTTTGCTCTCTCCCCAGCCTTCACTCGATTATCATTAAAAAGAGTTTTGCCTAGAGAGGCCTTAGCGAAAGGGAGTTATCGAGGCTCGATGTTGATTAATCTATGATTACAATGGAGTTATTTGTTCATTTGAAGGATGGAAAGCCATGTTTTTCTTTCACACTGTACGGCAACGAGACTCAGCTGTGTCGTCATAATCATCTTCGTCATCTGAAGGTGGCTCCAGGGTGTTATAAACTGGAGGAGGTTCCTCTTCAATTGCCGGCTCGGCTGTGTCGTCGTAATCATCTTCTTCGTCCGAAGGTGGCTCCAGGGTGTTATAAACTGGAGGAGGTTCTTCTTTAATTGCAGGCTCATCTTTTGTTTGCTCTAAAATAATATGAAATGATTGGTTACAATTCATTCTTTTCACTTCCAGAGTGAAACCTGGTTCGAAACTGAAGCCTGTCAACGTGAGCCCCAGTGTGTGACCATACAAATAAGAGCTATTAAGCAGTAGTCCCATTGATACTGTTTATTATGCTTTACAAGGTGGTTCTAATTTTTACGTTTGTGGATGAAACCCTAGTGTGTGACCATTCAAATGAAAGCTATTGAGCAGTGCTTTCATGTGGTAGTGTTTATTATGCTATACAAGGTGGTTCTCACTTTTAAGTCTGTGGATGAAACCCTAGTGTGTGACCATTCAAATGAAAGCTATTGTGCAGTGCTTTCATGTGGTAGTGTTTATTATGATGTACCAGGTACGTCGTTCTAATTCTTAAGTTTGTGGATGAAACCCTGTTGTGTGACCATTAAAATGAAAGCTATTGACTAGTTCAAGTCCAGTCGTACTGTTCGTCATTACAAGATGGTTTAAATTTTATGCAGAAGATACGTTCAGTAAAAGCTGCTTTTAACTTGACGTCTTTGAGTTAAACACTATGGTGTGATCGTTTAAATCAAAAATATTGAGCAGTACTTGCACTGGTATCGTTTATTATGCTGTACAAGGTAATTTTATCTTCGAAGTCTGTAAATAGACCGGCCCTAGTATGGGACCACTCATACACTGCTTTTAAGTGGTACTGTTTAATATGCTTTACAACGTGTCTTGCTACATAGTCTGGGGAAGAAACAACAGTGCGTGACCCTACAGATGAGAGCTATTGAGCAATACTTTCATGTGTTGCTGTTCATTGATGCTGTACAAGGTGGCTCTAACTCTAAAGTCTGTGGATCAAAGTGTGTGACCATTAAAATGAAAGCTATTGAGCATGCTTTCATGTGGTACTGTTTATTATGCACTGTACAAAGTGGTTCCATCTTTAAACTTATGTAGATGAAACCCTCGTGAGTGACCATCGAGACGAAAGATATTGATCCGTACTCTCATGTAGTGCTATTTCTTTTTTTCAGGTTTTGTTGTGTAGAATTTGTGTTTAAAACAAACACTAACCACTTGACTCTTGAGCTTCCGTTCCTAGCCCGTGGTAACCAACATTCCTTGTAATCATTGGCTCTTCATATGTGCCTTCCTAAAACAATTTTAAAATGGCGGTCAGTAAACTTTTAAACTTTCAGTAGACTTTTAAAGTTCTTAAGTTTTTAAAGTTCCTGAAAAAAACATTTTCCATTTCCAATAATCTTCGTGTTTTCTTGTAGGTAGCTCGAAAAAACATATAATCCCTGCCCGAAAAATATTAAATTAAGCTTCCCTCTTAAACGATCGCCAATTCAGCATGGAGGGAGGTATGCAGAGGACCCCATCCATACATTAAAATGATAATAATAAAAGAGATATATATCGGAAATTCAGTTTCATTGTCAAGTCTCCTTTGCCGAGATTTCTTTACGTATTCTCCTCAAGTGTGTCCGCTGAAAAATTCTCTTGAAAAATAAAGACCGTGTAGATTAGGGAGAAATCAATACAAATATTATGCGCGCATAGTGGACGACGGGAAGAATAAAGAACAGGGTCCGGATGTTCGAAGGTTGGATAACACTATCCACCGGATAAATCGCTATCCAGTGGATAAGTGTTAACACAACAAACCACGCTATCCCTTGAATAGTGATTTATCCAGCGGATAGCGTTATCCAACTTTTGAACAACCGGGGGCTGACAAGCAGTATCCCATGTTTAATGTTTGCTTGTTAGAACTGACCTCTGGGGGCAGAGGTGGTAAGGGACCCAATCGATACGTGTTGTTGGTTGTTGCAGTTGGTCCTTCGATCGACAGCACACAATCTGTATCGTAAAACTCGTTCTCTGTAATAATTAAGAACATAACATATATGGATGGACATTAATCATAGACAGAGCACTCGAGCCTGTCCATATGCAACTCACACGCCCGTATGGACGAAACAAGTCTGCTAGTCCCGTCTAGACCACTTGTGGACAGCAAGAGTTATTTAACTTTCTGTCCCCGTTTATGTAGTTAGTTAAACAAGTGTTTTTTGGTGCTCACTTCAGCGTTGAGGAAATCTATCAAGTTAAACACTTTGTTGACCTGCAGTTATAAAAAAGGTACGTATAGGTTGTTGTTGTTGTTGTTTTTTGTTGTTGTTGTTGTTTTTTTTTTTTCGCATTTTGCATTTTTTTAAATTGATTTACAAACACAATATACATAGGAAAAAACTAAACAAATAAAAGAGGAAATAATAATATTACAGCACAATACTTACTTACAGTACAATATGATCGTTAAGACTGCGTACATCGTTCTTTACATAGCTATAACAATACAGTTTGGTACGTACAGGTATGACATACAGAGGGAAAAGCATTGTTCTTGAACTCAACAACGCTGGAAGACTTACGAAAGGACTGGTTGCTGTTTCGTTTCACGACCGCATAGCGGGAGGCCGGGTCAACGGGTTCCTATTGCAAATAGCAAGGGAAAAAGGCATCCATGAGAAGAATGACAATAGGGAGGGGTGCCTGGGGGTGGGGGTAGTTCATTAGACCTCTGAAGTGCTTCTTAGGAGCTTGGATTCATAGGGCTTAGTTAAGAACAACGATAATTGTGCCTTGGAGCCTTTAGAAAAATTCACTGCTTTCAAGCAGCCCCATGTTCTCTATCAACGTACTAATGACCCGCCTAGATTAGCACTTGCTATCCACGGGCTAAATAACATGAAATTTTAAAATGAAGGAAAATAAAGATTATTATTGTTGTTGTTGTTGTTGTTGAAAGGATGGGGAGGGACTTGGAAGCGCGTAGTCGCAAACTTCCTGCTTCCAGCACCCTCGAGCTATTTCCGTGCGTGTTCCCAAAATTAATACAGAAGATTTATTACATTTTATTTGTTATCATGTTTCAGTTTGTGAAGAGCCACTGGTTTATAAGCATTTCATGTTAAAACTAAACAAGACCAACAGTGTTCAAGAATATTTTCCGTCGTTCAAAAGTAGCAAGTAAACCAAAAAGCAATGCTACTTAACTTTTCAGCAAAGTCAACAAATCAATTGTCTTACCTCGTACCCTGCATCTACAAAGACAAGAAAAAAAAGCCAATTATTATGAAATAATGACAGTTAATTTAAAAGAAAAAGTTAAAAGCATCCATAGAAAAATTCGCAAGACTCAGACAGGTTGTTCATGCTATTTAGAAAGGTTCAGGATTATTATCCAAGTTCAAGGTAAACGAGCTTCCACCTACGGTTAAGTTATGAAATCTTTCAATAAAACAAATCTCAATATGGAAAAAAACTACAGAAAGCGGTGGTTATTCAACGAAAAAGCTTTTAAACGCCCCCCCCCCCCTCCCCCGGGGGGGAAGGGTATTAAGATAGACTGATAATCCTGCCTTACGCTGTTAGCATAATTTACTTGACAACACGAATGCCATTCACTAGTGGCTGCGCTACTCACTATTTCGATTCTGTTGTAGATAGTGAGTAGCCTAGCAGTGTGTGGTTATTAAAAAGCTGGCGGCCGCTCCTTTGCGTTTTCGAAGTGTCTGTCAAGAAGATTTAGATAATTTAGTAGTCAAATTTTGAACGACTAGTAGATTTATACTAAAATAATTTGATTATTCGCCCTCGATTTATATGTGTAATAGTGGGCTCGGGCTGCGCCCTCGTCGACTATCATGCCCGATCACGCGATTGAAATCTCGAGCTCATAATCAAGTGGATAAAAAGAAAGCTCATTTATTATATGCTCGCTCTGTATGCGGGCAAGATAACCGAATCCTGCTTTGTGATTGGCTACCCGAGTGGGCAAGATGGCGCTATCTTGTCACCTCGGGATTACCCGCTGTGTCCAGCAAGAAAATAGTGTTCATTTTCCACATAATAAATCCTTTATTGACCAAGCTTGTTCTGTCACGATGGCTTGATATTGGCCTCGTTCTGTTTTTTGTTTTTTTTTTGCGTGTTTATGGCCCTCGACTCCGTCTCAGTCCATAATCACGAATAAAAAGAGAAAAAAACTTGGCCAAGATCCAGCCATCTTGACCGAACAAGCCTGGTCAGTAATCCATATTTATTAAATTTTTATGGACAGGCATCAAGTGCTTTGAATGAATGAACTATGTTATGTTCACGATATTGTAAAAAAAGGAATCTTTTGGGGGTAAACTGATGTAAAGTTGTCATTTTTGCTCACCTCGAGCTCCAGCTTTACCTGGGCCTTTTGGTCTAAAATTAAAGAATAGTTACGTACTCATTAAGAACAGTTATCACTGAAATGAATAGATAGGAGTAATGTAACTAAGAGCCACGCAGCTTTAAGACGTTACGTGAGTAAATAAACGATTGATTGACTGACGTACCGAGCAACCGACACACCCACTGACTGACTGACGGAATGATGGACTGACGGACTGACGGAATGACGGACTGACGGACTGACGGACTGACGGACCGACGGAATGACGGAATGACGGAATGACCCACTGACTGACGGACGGACGGTCGGACAGATCCAGAAGACATTTTGCCTCGTTATTTAAATAAGTTTTCATTGTATGATTTTTGTGAATAATCCTTACCTCGTAGACCCACTTCTTCTCAATACCAGAACACAAACGAGGGCGATTCCCGCCACTAAGGACAAGCACACACCGACCACTACAACACTGTTGTTCTTTTCTACGGTTTTTCTTTTCTTCTCGGTATCTGCAGCAGTTTCTCCAGGATGAACATTGTTGACATTGTCCTTGAAAAACAATAATAAAGCATGCAATAAAAAATGTAGAGTTTGTAATACGAGTGGCATACATGTTATAGTTCCTTAAAAGAGGTAGTTAACGGTTTCCTCATCTTGAAAAGTTTAGCGTAATTTTTTTTAAGATCGTCGCTTGTAATCCTAATTGTTAATCTTCTCCATCTTTAGCCATCCTCGATCCTTTATGGTTTATAATTATCTCCTTGAAGTTTTTTGACTTTAGTAAAACCATTTTTAGGTCTCCGTCAATTTGACAATAAAGTTGACAGCTACTTGTGATAATACACTGTTCGTGGCTAATCCTACGCAGCTCGTCTCGTCCCGGCTAAGGGACTCATCAGGGACCTTTCTGCTTGGCAAACTCGTTGGGCACCGCGCTTAAAGTCCCGTTCGCTAACAAAATGATGACAGCAATCTCGCCTTATATCGCATAAGGATTCCCGACCGCACAAATTTACGAGTGAAAATTGACAATAAAGTTGAAAGTTACTTGTGATAATACATATTACATAATCCTTCAATTTAAAGGTAATTTTGTACTTGGTTAAAATCACTCCAGATGCCATGACTGAGTTCCTTTACGTGATCAAAATATAATTTTTCCTTATAGCGGAGCTCCGGCGGCCCGAAGGGCC